GCCCCGCAGAGCAGCACCTGGCAACCCTCCCTCCGCACATTCAGGGCTAAGGACTGACAAAGCAGGAGCACCAGTGAACAGATCCCCCCAAGCTAATGACTGTTGTGGATTTATTCTTCCTTGGTCATCTCCTCCTCTTCTCCATCTCTCCTTTGATTTTCCATTGCCCCTTCCCTTCCCTGTCTCATCTTCCCTTGGAAATGAGAACCCCTTCCCACATCCCTACTCCCTTCACTGCTCCCCCTCTCCTCTCTCTGCCTGTGCTCCCACCTCCTCTCCTCACTGTCCCTTATCCTCCTTTCATCTCCATCTGTCTCTTGCACTCCCCTTGCCCTGACCTATCCCCATCTCCTTGATACTCTCCTCTGCTCAGCCCAGGTGGCACCTCAGAGCGCTTTCCAGGAGTGAAAGAGCTCAAAGCCCTCGTGGCAGAGCACTCAGAGCAGGGAAATTCAGCTCAGCTTCTGAACTGGCCCATGAAGATTATCCTCCTAAACATGGCTTGCACTTTCAGCCAACGGTCTGACTTGTGAGACACATCAGAATTACATGGGGGGGTAACAAGGGTCCTGTCCCGGGCCACCCATCCAGCTCCTTGGCTGGGGGGTCCTGCTCCGGAGCCAGGGCAGAAGGAGCAGCTCACACTCTGACTGGTATCAGCAGCCATGAAACGGGTCAGGCAAGGAGTCGCACCAGCTGAGAAGTAGGCAGAACGCCTTTTCTGTTGTCCCTGCTCCACCACTGTGGTGTAAACGCCAGCAGCCAGAGGCAGAAACTTCCTCGGGCAAACAGCCTGGGATCCCCCAGTAGCCCTCATGGGTGCTGTGTACCACCCTGACGTCCCAACAGAACGCAAAGTCCCTTCATTCTGCAACCCCACAACAGGCATAAGCAACCCCCCCCACACCAAACAAAAAGGTCAGATCATGATAGGAGATGTGTCCCCTGCTGCTACTACACACTATATGCCAAAAACTTCGGGGTGGACAAACATATTAAATTGAAGTTTGCAGAGCAGCAAAGTGTCCTTGCAAGCCCAAGGGTCCAGCAGACGTGCGCAGAGGCTGTCAGCTCACATCGCGCACAACGGAGGAAGGACAGCGCTCTCCAGCCTGCAAGCACGCTCCCTGAACCCGGGTTTGGCAGGGACACAAGCAGTCATTCAGAACGGAATAGGTGTGGACAAGTTTGACCCCAAGCAATAACCAAAGAGCATGTGAAAGTGGCAGCTAGCAAAGCTCTCAGCTTGTACGGCTGAGGGCAGGGACGGGGCTGTGCGGTTATTAGCAGACTGAGCTGAGCTGGCTACTCAATTACAGCTGTTTTATCCCCTGTCTGGATTTGAAACAGCTTCCTCCAATCTCTTCGTGACTCAGTGTCTTGGCATGGAGAACGCATACCCGAGAGTTTAGCTTTTGAAATCCACCAGGGACATTTCACCTTCCTAAAATAAAGAGCGGGCAAAATATTTTCAAGCTCCCTCCAAAAAATGCACACACACACAAAAAATCACTCCTTAATAAGTGTATGTTGTTGGGCCTCTGCTGGCTTTGGGCTGGGGTATATTTTCCTATTTATAATCATGCAGCTGTTTGCTGACTGAAAAGCTCTATTTATTATTTGGCATGTTTACTAACCGCCTCAAATACCTTCTCTACCTGTAATTGTGGTGCAGCGTACATATTATTTTTTTTCAGATTTCTTCATTCAAGTGGGTTGTGTTACTCCCAGGCCCCACGCTGCGGTTTGCTAAGGGTATTCATGGTTTGAGGGTATGAAGCTTTGGACTCAAGTGACCCTGAACTGTAGCGGACCAGCAAAGAGACACTTGGGGGGAAAAAATGGAGTCAATTTTTCAAGCCGTTTATCCATGGGCACTCAGGGCTCTAACATACTCTATTTGCCTTTCTTGAGAGCAGTCTCTCCTGAACGTATTTCCTCTCATCTATGCTAATCTAGCTTCTTCCCTTCCAAACTTTACTGAAATTGGTCAAAGCCAAACCTTGTATGCTTTCTAGAGTATTCAAGTCCTGAGTCTTGGGAGAGGAGGCCTTAAAACACAGCATAGCAGGGGCTTGTTGGACTCTTGGTACCCCAACACTAGGGGAAAGTAATGCAGCCGGTTTTCCCAGGCACCCTGCAAAGCACAGAGAGAACACAGAGCTCTGGAAAAGTTGACCATACACCTCTACCCCAGACCCAGCGCACAGCCACCATGCCCTGCAGGACTTTGCTTCCCTCTCTTGCCTGTAAAGTGAGCTGACGGGTCTGCCCGTATTGTCCCACCCCTGAGACCTGGCAGGACCTACTCGCCCTCCTCTGTCTCTCTGCTGGCATCTTGATGAATTGCTAATCTGGTCACCTGCCATCCTCCCAGCCCTCCTCCTGCCAGTGCTAAACATCCCATCTACCCTCCATTCAGACCAATCTAAACAGTGCTATTGCAATTCCCTGCACGACACTGGGCTCCCTTAATGGTGCAACATTTGTTTAGAGAGCTCCATTGTCCCGGGTGGGTGGGGGGGACGACGACTCTCTTGCTTTGTTCTGCCAGAGGCTCCTGTACATCATGGAGCGGGGCCGGGATGGGGATGGAGCAGGGTTGGGTTTGGTGTTAGGATTTGTTTTTTTAATAAACAAAGCAAACAGAACAGTTCCTGGAGGTATAAAACCATTCCAGAGCATGTTAAAGTAGGTTCAAATCTGTTTATCAGTATACCTGCAGCTGGAAGAGCCCTTTGTGGACCACGGGGCGGGGGCTGAATTTCCACCCCACCTCATTTTCAGAAGTCAGCTCCCCCAGGCTCTGCCCCAGGCAGAACCCCTTCCCAGGCTCTTCCCGCTCAGCCCTGGTCCACAGCCTCCCCAGAAGACACCCTTCACTGCTCTCTGTCCCGGGATGCTTTTGCCTGGCACTTCCTCTCCAGTTAAGAGAATGAGGTCTTCAAACCAGGCCACCGGTTGATCAGATCTCGCACCTCGGGTCGTCTCAGAGCAGTGGCAGTCACACTGGGACACCATCCCGGGCCAGCCACCCCATCGTGGCGTATGCCATGGCCATGTTTATGCTGAGCATCAATGACCGTTTGTGCAGGGGGAGGTCAGCCCCAGAAAGGACGAGCCAGGTCTGCGTTTCATTTACAAGAGCTGTAAAACTGCCACCTGGCCAGTGGCTTTACGGATCTGGATGGTGCTGGTGTCAAAGACGTTTGGTGCAGGAGCCAGCTGGAGCCGAGCCAGTTTTATATTTAATCTTGCCTATAAATACAAATAAAGGGCCTGTATTTTGAGTGAGCGACAGGCGCACCACGGACATCATTAAACCTTCCAAAAATAAACCTCTGCCAAAGTGAAGGGAGCCAGATTTTTCCTGGAAAGTATCAGCATGGGATGGGGGGTGGGAATAAGGCAGCCCCTCTGCCGCATGGCCCCTCTCCAACAGCTGCTCTGCATCAGGAGCTCCTTCCTATCACCATTTGTTTGTTTTAGTCCCAAAAATGCCTGAGCAGCTCCTCGGAGCAGCTTAATCAGAGAATCACAGAATGGCTGGAGTTGGAAAGGACCTTAAAGATCATCTAGTTCCAACCCCCCTGCCCTGGGCAGGGACACCTCCCACCAGCCCAGGTTGCTCCGAGCCCCGTCCAACCTGGCCTTGAACACCTCCAGGGATGGGGCAGCCACAGCTTCTCGGGGCAACCTGCCCCAGGGGCTCACCACCCTCAGAGAGAAAAATTTCTTCCTGATATGGGATCTAAATCTCCCCTCTTCCAGTTTGAAGCCATTACGCCTCGTCCTATCACTACATGCCCTTTTTAGAAGTCCCTCTCCAGCTTTCATATAGGCCCCCTTCAGATACCGGAAGGTAATGTCCACTCAGCACTAAACCCACCCAGAGGATTCATCCCCGC